TACCGGATCTTTTCAGTGTTATAATACCCGCAAAACCTTGAACGCGCGCGTTGGTATTTACATTCTTTGGTTCAGTATGATCAATTAATCGGATGACATTTTTTTTTCTACCTAGCGATTCCCATCACAAAACTGATACGGTATCTTCTTTCGCGCTTTTCCACTCACTGGGCAATTTAAAGAAACACCCACAAATCGAGAAAAATTATGTTTTCGACAAAAAATTCTGCCTTTAAATTTCATACCAACCTCTACGCACGCACACTGCGGTAGTGTTGTGATCATAACATAGCTTTCAAGCTATACTAGTAATGAGTCATATTTCTGTATTAATATTCCTTGCTTTGAAATGTTTGGAATCTAACAAATTTTTCAAGCCAGATTTAGTCATTTAATTGATCCGATTAATGAACCTGCCATTCTTTCGCAGTGGATAAGGTTAAGTCGCTAAAATTTGCCTTTTGGCCCTTTGAAAAGGTGGACATAAGCTAAGAATCTGATTTCGAGGTATATTCGACATTGTTCTGCAGATTTCAGCAGGATATGAACGTGATAAATGCTCAGCTTAGAGTCTTTAAGATCTTTAATCTGGTACTTTCTTGGTGACAATGGGGAGCTTAAGCAACGACGACAGCGACAGCAACGAGAACGGCAAACTGTAAAGCATCTTGGATTTATAGGTCGTTTAGATAAGTAAAACAACAACTTTGCACGTGCATCACGCCTTTTTGTACATTTCTTTGCCGTCACTGCACCACTACGACATAATACGTTCTAGTTTCACGTTTTATGGAGAGCGTCCACGTGAACACAAGACAATGATTTTCTTTTTCTAAACTTACATAGTCTTTTAGAATTGACTCGAGAAAACCCCTAACGTTAAACAAAATGTATGTGATAGAACAACTGTGACAGTAATAAAGTTTGAAACAGCGCAAACTCACTTTCCAAGTGACGTTTTCGCTGCCGTTGCTGTCGTGAAGTGGTTGCTTAACCTCCGGCTATTCACCCAAGGCAACGTCACTGTTTGAACACTCAAACAGCTTTTCTCTTTGGCAAATTTCAAATCAGATTGACGAGGAACAATTAGAGCCTCAAATACTTCCTTCCCCGGTTTTTTCCGGGTCCTCTTCAACTAAGGGACGCATGTTCAAAAAATCACTGATTTAGCTGACGTATAGCTAGCCCCTTGGCTTATTGGTGTGAAACAAAAAATCAAAACAAACGAAGCTCATTCGAAGAATCAAGCTGACCAAAGTGTCGAGTCTCCATTATGTTATGTTTTGTTTTTCTTTTCTTTATTTGCCCCAAGCTTTTCTTTATTGGATCCAATGGAGGACAAAATGGCTATTCGCCAGTCTTGATCCATGTTGCTAAGATGTACGCCTGCAACCGTGTCAGACTAGAAATTCTGATGAACCAGGAGCCGATAATCGGCTCCTGGATGAACAAAATACTCCATGGGCTTCAAAATCCCTTTTGAAAAAACGTTCATAACAATATCGTACATACTCTTGTTCTCTGGCCATAGTAGTTTGATAAGAAATAAATAAAAATCTTTTTACTTATTTAGGAATAGAAGCAACTGAAAGCAGCACGCGACTGCTGGTTGCAAGAACTTGAAGGTTCATTCACCCTGTTCATTTAAGGGCTTAACATGTTATTAACTACTTATCCCACTATTAGGATAACGGCGTCCACACTTCTAAGGATGATAATGTGATAAAAAGTTACTTGTTTTTTTAATTTTTTAAATACAATCTCGCCCAAAAATATCACACATATTTCGAACAAATGTCTGCAACCAACGTAGAAACTAACTGCCTCGATCTTAACCTTGTATTGCCGGTTATCCAAAAATCGAGGACAAGTAATAATAATAGTAAAATACATAAAATACATATTTCAAGAGATACACGTAAAAAAATCCTTCTGTTTGAATAGTTGTTGGTTTTTTCCCAGACAATATGGTTGCTTGTCACTTTAAGTGGCCTTTTAATCGTTTAATCGTTTTGAATTTAATCTTTTCCGGCATCACGACGCCTTAATCTTGATCCAAATTCTTTAATATCTGAAAATGTTTTTAAAATCTGCTTGCACCGAATGGCAAAGCTAGGCCATGACCTTTTACTGAAGGTGTATGAACTGATAACTTAGTGTAAAGTGGCCCCATCAACGTAACATATTTCGAATTAGCTATAAAAGTAGGTTGAGGTCCTTCAAGTTTTACTTTAGCCTGAATTTCATCGGATTACTTCGAGTCGTTATTACTCCCTCAGTAACTTAGTTACTTCCCTCAGTTGTTGAGAGGAGAAAACGACTCGAAGCAATCGGATGAAATTCAGGTTAGTTTTACTTGGTCATTTTGTCAGTTGAGGGGCTAAGTTTGCAACTGGTTCAGTAAGATAAACTCAAGCCTGATATTTTTTTCAGTTGTGTTGTAAATCTCCTGAAGTCCATCATCCTTACCATCTAGACCGGGGCATCTATCAGGAGATCAGATAGAGCTCTTGGGATAAGGATACGTATAGGACAAAAGGGTTAGTTCTAGGTGTAGACGCTCTTATAGGGATTCCTCACGGGTTCCTTTTTTAGGTGAAGGGCGGCGGCGACACCACTCAAGATTTGACGTATTACAACAAATCGAAAACTGAGCAATATCCATGTCACCAGGCAACACAGCTTACAAACGGTAATGTCCGCAACACCGAGAAACCGCGCCCCAAAAAAATTCAAGTAAAGACAAGCAAATCATAACTGATTAAGCAAGAGCAGACAATACTTTTCTCTAACCCAAGAAAGTGATTTGTAGTTCGCGGTCTTTCAGTTTTGACTGTTCAGTTGACTCTAAATTTGACTGTTTGACTCTGAATTGTTTAGTAGTCTGTCATGTTCTCTTGTTTGTGATTTCTATACAATTTTTCGTCGTGCCATCAGAGATTTATTGTGGCTATTGACAGCCAACAAAAGAATAGAAGAGGTAGTACATGCGTCCTTAAAATAGGCGGGAAAACAGCTTAGTATTAAATTCTCTCTTAGTTTTCTTCACAGTCTAAGAATCAATTAGAATTACAGAAGCTACAAGTAGCTAGAGACTAACGAGAACCCGTGAAACCGAAAAGAAATCAACTGACATGCTTGAGGTTAATTGGTCTTCTCCACTTGGTAAAATTGATTAGAGATAGCGGTATCAGGCGTTTAATTTTAGACAAATCAGGTATTTTAGACAATAAACTTAACCGTTTAGACATGACGTTTTTTGGGAATACCATAATTTTCCACTACCAGTGATACTAACTAATATCATTCATTACTCACTGTTCGGCAACTGACCCTTTCCTCGATTCACTTGATCAGGTTGGGAGTTTTTAACTGATAAAAAATGCTAATAAAAATTCCAAAGACGGCAACGTAGACGTAGATCTGATAATACCGCAATTGGAGCTGGCGGGTATGATCTCGCGTAGTTCTCGAGCAGGGCACCAACTCGTCGTGTGACAGTATGCGTTCGCGCGTGCCTTGAGTGACCCATCCCCTGCCCATTCCTCATAATTCTCGATCGGTACTGCTTACCCATTAACCAAAACGAACTTTTTAAACCCATTTCCATATTACGATTTCAGACTCTAACCTCAGCGAATCCTTGCAATATGCCAAGAAAACTCCGTTTATTCGTGGAATTAAAAAGGAAAAAGGTTGTAAGAAAGCGCAAAAGAACTTTCAGCATTAGCCTGAGTAGAAGACGAAACTTAATTCTGGTCAAGAGCGTCCGCGAAACAGTATCAAAATCCTTGTTCTGTGGCCCACAGGCTATAGCACAGAAATAAAAAACTGAAACATGCAATTCTTGCAGACCTGAGAATTAATAAGCCTTTTTAAGACAAATTATACTATAAAGAGGAAGAGAAAAGCCCAGATATTTGAGCTCGTAAATGACTGGGATGCTCATCGTCTGCTTTAAATTGAAGATTTTGGTCTCACTTAGAGTGTTTGGGACGGAGAGTCACTATATCTGTCAATTCACGTACCGCTTAGGGCTTTGCATAAAGAAATGTACAAAAAATGCCGTGATGTCTGCTTTAATATGGTCTTTTTTAGGGGTCAGTTTAAGCGTGAGCCACACCCACATTGGTCCCCCTCGGGGGTTTCATCCCCGTCTTCTTTTTAGTGATTCCCCCGAGTAGTGAGCCCGGCCCCGTAGAGATGGAGGATTGCATCCGCCTATGGCTTATGAAGACCTCATGGTTACTAAAATTGGTTACCAACAGCTAGATAACACATTAGCCTGTTCCAGGCTCCAAGATAGTGGGAAAGCAAATCCAAAAATAAGCGCGAAAAACCGCGTGAGGACTGGAAAGAGAGGGTTTCACGACGTTTCGCTCGTCTACACATTCTCGGAGACCCAGGGGCAGTCAGTCGGGTCGGGAGAAAAGGCGCGACGAAAGTTTTCAAGTACGGGCAAAAGAGCCCCTGGGTACCGACTCTCACTGAACTATTTCCAAAAATTCAAGCAGATGCCGGCTCTTGATTGGGCACAAAAAATGCTTTGTATTATTGTGCCCAATCGGCGAACAGTTTCTCCTGAGTTCTTTTCGTGAGTTCGTACACGACGGCTATTGTCTCGATCACGGCTTGTCCGGCTCATGCAGCAAAGAAATGCACGCAGTCAGGAAACCTTTCAGTTTGATAAAAAATCCCCATCTGATTTCAAAATACTGTCTGCCCGAAAACTAAAGACGCTTTTCCAAAAATACAAGCTCGAGCTTACACCACGAGATAAATCAGTCACTTTCCACTAACTAATAAAATTCTTTTCTGCTAATACCGTTACTTATCTAGTGTATAGTGATTTATTTGTTGGATAGCGATCCTTTGACCACTACGACCTGGACAAAACATTCAGATCCTATCCGGCTTTTCCGGAAGTCCATTTCACGCGCCAAGATTTTTCGTTTGGCGCGTGACGTAGCCTGGTTTTCGCAGGCTACGCGTGACAGAGACACGGTTTCAAAATGGCCGGTATCAGCCGTGCCTGGCGACTCTCCGCAGTCAGTTTAGCTGCTGCAGGCGGAGCTTTTAAGATATCCCGAGAAATCTCGAGCAAAACGAAAGAAACCACACCAGAATCAAATTTAGAGTTGGTCTTGGTTCAAATGGCATTTAGACATGGCGCAAGAACTCCAGTCTTTCGTCCTCCTTGTGAAGAATTAGAACTGGTAACTTGGACGGCCGATCTTCTGGGAACACTTCCACACACAGATGTGGCTTATGAGCTTAAACATGTGTCTGGAGGACCTTGTCCAGTATCTGAAAGCAAAGAAAGATTATTGAAGAGACTTTTAAAGGTTTGAACTGCTTTAATATTTCTCAAATTAAACCGGCGACCGGTCCAATAAGAATGCTTACGTTGCATAAACGAAAATGGCACTATTTCGCGACTTTTCAACAGCGATAATTGAAAAACAGCTGAGTATCAGTATTTGGACTCCGGCTTTTCTTATGTTACCGCTATATTAGAGTATGCATTATTAAGTGTGCGATACAGGTGTCACCGGTGGCTGTGTGATCCACCTGTAACACGAGAGCCTCCCCCTCCCCCTCCCCCCAAACTTAAGTGCAAAATTTCTGGATCAAATAAACCTCTCTCTCTCTTTCTTACAGCCCAAAAACTGTTGTTATACAGTCATCCCTCTCTAAAGCTGTTTCTCACTAGCGACAGAGTCGAAGTCAAAGTGGTAAGAGAAGTCATAAGAGCGCTTATGACCTAGTGAAAATAAAAAAATCAGAGTCATAAGTGCAACGGAATTGGAGTCAGAAGAATCAGAACGTTTCCATTTCTTCCGACTCCGCTTACGACTCTGTCACTTATGTTCCACTTGTGATCTAGTGAAAACCAGATTGTCGGAGTTGGAAGCAGAAGCAGAAGGACAAACCAATCACAATGCATGTTCCCATGCTTTGTGATTGGTTTAGTTCCTCTGCTTCTTCTTCCGACTCCAACAACCTGGTAAACTTTCACTAGGTCATAAGCGGAAGGTAAGCAACGGAGTCGTAAGTGGAATCAGAACACTGTTTTCACTAGATCATAAGCTCTACACCTCTGATCACAACTCCGACTACGGCTCTCGCGCTAGTGAAAATCAGCTTTAACACAGACACCTTTGGGACACAAATGGCATAATCCTAAATGTAATCCCAACTGACTCTGTAAGATTTGTTACAGTGTTTCTGTTTTTCTTCAGGGAGGAATTCCAGCTGGACAGCTTACAAAAGTAGGACAACAACAAATGTATGAATTAGGGAAAAAGCGAGGAAAACTGTATGTGGATAACCTGAAGTTTTTACAGGAAACCTACCATCCTGAGGAGATTTAGTAAGTTTTAAGAATAACATTGTGTATTATCACACTACTTATTAACAAGTAATAACTGAAAGTTACAGAGTGTAGGTAAAAACAATTGAAGGTCAAATGTACATAATTTTGCTCCAATGCTAAACTTAAATCTGATGTTGGTCGTTTGCTGTATATTTTGTGGTTCAATTTTATCCTTGGTTTAAATTTTATTTCCTTTTGTTTTCGGGTATGGTATTGTATGATAATGAGTTTAAAACAAAGGGAAATAAAATTTAAACCATTAAGGATAAAATTGAACCACAACATATACGTGAAGCTTAGACTCTCTATCATCACTTTCAAACTCAAGTTTGAACATTCCGTTATTTTTTGAGGTGTGTTACATTGGTATGAGTGGACAGAATTGAATCACCCTGGCTTAATATAAATTGAAGGGAATTTTCTGTTCTGTAGAAGTTGAAGAACCACTGTATTTCTCAGTAACAGTAACTTTTAACTTACTATTTGAATGTATTTATTTTTTAGTACTCGTACATCAGATTTTCAAAGGACGATAGACTCAGCCAGATGTGTTTTAGCAGGCATGTTTGGAAAGGAACGGTTGAAAGGTTTGTTGTTTAACCATTGATTATGCACTTATTGCTGTTTAATGTTAAAGATGTGTCTGATAATTAAATTTAATGGATATGCTCTTATTGGCCAACTAATATCAATTACTCATTGCTAATATGTGCAAATATCTCCAAGATGACAATAATGTTACACTACTCCAGAGCAGTGCAGACATGCACATGTAGTGATACATCAGACAGTATTGTTTCTTTAAAGAAAAACCAGCAGTTGCCTAAATTTAAGGTTTTAAACTCCTCCAGGGTCTAGGCTAGAATGCGTGTAAACTGAAACAACATTTTGCCCTTTCAGTCACGAGTCGAATTTCATGTATTTCCTTACCCTGATATATAAAAAACGAAATGTTCAACCAGTTACATAAGCCCTTAACATAATGTGGTGATGTACTTGTCCTTGTAAAAAATTATCAATGGTGGGATCACTGAAAAATTTGTACAAGGGTGTGATCGCAGACATTCCATCCCTCCAAACCTTATCAAAGGTGCTAGAAATGAAAGCCCATAGTTTTAACTTGGACTAACAGCTTTGAATGGGGGAGACTAGGTTGATGGGCTTGTTTCTTTTCCAAGATGTATTATTATTAATTAGCACATTAAAGTTAAAACCAAGGATGTTTTTTGGGAGCTTTTGTCCAGCAATTTTGCAACTGTTTAGGCTGCCCAAGGCATTAAATAACACAGTTTTGCTCAATATTCTGATAGTCCTCCAAGCACTTGTGGCCTGCAGTAAGCCTCATTAAATCTTCCTGTTGATCTACATGTATTTCCAGTACAACAACAACAACTTTATTGCACATGAAAAAGTTTACAAGTAAGAAATTAAAGTAAACTTAAAATGAAAAAGGAAACATTTCACCCAACCTGCAGTTTGCTAAGCTAATTTGAGGAAGAGGTGGAGTGGACATAAAAGACAAAACAAGAAAAATTAGGCATAATAATAATTTTACAAAGGGAACAAAATTTGATACCCTCGACTAAGAATAGTTAAATTTATTATATACAATACATCTGTTTTGAAGAGCCTGGGTATTGTTATTGCAGTTAATGTATTTATTTACCCAAAACTGAGGAAGATCTGGGGGTTGATTTGTTTCAGAATTAACAATGTACACAGAACATGAAGAAAAAGAGTTCTTGTACCCAAATGTATCTCACTGTAAAGCTTTGAAAAACTGCTGGAAGTATTTTCAGCATGCCAAAGGCTTGGACCACATAAAGGGATTTGATGATAGGCAGGAAAAGCTTGAACAGGCTTTGAATATGAACGGAGACAATAAATTATCTTCAATTCACCTAAAGGATATTGTGTCTGCAATGATGGTAAGTGCATACACGATGTTAATTTTGACCTTAATTCAATTAGGATTTTTCTGCATATCATATATTTAGCTTTTATTGTAATTTTTTCGCGTCAGTTCTTCGTTTAGCTGCGCTTGGTCCGGTTTACAGTTTAATGTTTGGGTTTTGCTCGTCCTAGTTTTTCGTCCTTATCTCGCTATCGTCTTGTAAGTATCTCGTTTGTTTCATTCGCATTTCTAGATTGCCTTATTGCTTTCGTTCAGTTTGTAGGTTGTTTTATCTTGACTTTGTATTTGTTTAATTGTTATTTTTCAGTACCGCTATACTTCGCTGTACTTCGTTATACTTCACATCGGTTCACTTGTTTCCCTGCACCAGTTGTAGAAGTTCTAGAATAAAGTTTGTGTGTTAAAAACTTTAGCGCGTAAAGGCTGCGACTATAGACGCCAAGATAGGCTTACAGTATACTTAATTTTTTTTATTTTTCTCTTTATTTTTACTCCACAATTTGTACCTTGCTCTGAAAGCTTCCTTTTAATACGCTGGATACATAATGTTAGGTCTTCGATCTTATCATTAACCCCTGTGTAATTATTTGTCAGTTACTCATACTGAGAAAGTCTGATTGCCTGAAAGTAAATCAAGTTAAACTCAAATACATTTTTTCAATTTGCAGGCTCATAACATGGAAGTTCCAAAAAATATTCTTCAAAACTTAAATTTAATAGAAGAACAAGCTCTGCAGCTATTTCTCTCACTGCAGTATGGAGTTAATTCAGGAAATAGGTGAGTAATGTTACCTGCTATAAACTTCACTTAGCTACACTCTACAAGGGTTTTTGTGAACTGCTCGTGGTAATGTCATCAGACTGTCCCCTGGACAGGAGATACTCTCTAAAATAGCCTATAAGGGGAGGCTCCCCAGGGGGGGTACTCGGGATCTCAAGTGACGGGGATGATCGAATGGACCAGAAAGTCAAGACCCAAAAAAATCCCTAGGGCTTCCAGCAAAACCCAAAAAAATCCCTGGACCAAAAATTAACCCCCAAAAAATCCCATGCCTAACACGTGCGATATAAAGCGACACCATAGTTAACTATTAAACAACAGCAAAATACGTTTGTTTGTACTTTATTAGCAGAACTACGCAGCCAGGGCACTACCGATTCTTTTTAATACCCCCAAAAAATCCCTACTCGAATCAAGCTACCCCAAAAAATCCCGGAATCGAAAATTTCAAACCCAAAAAATCCTTTGATCATCCCCGTCACTTGAAATCCTGAGTACCCCCCCTGGGGGAGGCTCTGCCTGAAAGGGGTACCTTTTCAGGCCTCAGGTATATGAAAGGATTGGAATTTCACGATTTGAAGGATTAAAGAAGGTAGGGAAATTTGTCATTCCATCTTTATAAAGACCTAAAATTGCTATTCTGGAAAAAATTTATGGCTGTAAAAAAGTCGGGAAAATTTCCTGGTTTTGTAATTTTTTCATATTTCAAGATGGTGCATTTACAGAAGTTAAAAGGGTTGCAATATTCTAAACTGGATATGTGAGAGGGGTACCATTTGTCAATGGAAGGTATACAAAAGGAAAACCTTTTGTTGTAAAAATGGTATATAAAAGGGTAAGGCTGGTTGGACCTCGAGGCAGAGCCTCCCTGTGTGAAACATTGTTGAGTACCCCCCAGGGAATCTATCTTTCCCTAATTATGAGGCAATTGTGCCTTGTGAGCAGAAGCTATATTTTTGCAGTGTGAGCTTGTGTGCGAAAAGTAGCCTCTGCCAACAACCGTTCAAATCTGTCCAGAAATCTGGACAAATAAATTTTAAAAACAAGGTTTTTTTCCTGTCCTTAACCGGTTTAGAGCATTGAGTGAGTCTTGTGTGGCAGATCAGAGTTGTCGTGGCAGTTGTCGCAACTTTTTTATTCCCAGGAAACTCCCACCATTTGCCTGTGACGACAGACCAGACGATTAATTTTTGCTTGCGAATTGGGTGATGAATTTTGCACATGCATGATAGAAAATTGAACTGTTGTTGGCAGAGGCTACTTTTCGCATGACAGTTCACACAGCAAAAATGCAGCCTCTGCTCACAGGGTGAGGAAATTTCTGCCTAGAGAGGCTAACAATAACTATAGTAGATAAAATCTGAAAGTATGAAAGAGCATTCTGAAGGAAATAGCTCTGTGAAAGTAAAGATAATTTTTGCAAGGTTTTTGTTACATTCAAACCTATTTTACATGTAAGTGGCCAACCTGTATTCAGCAACCAGTTGTTAGATCAGTGCAAAAAAAGTTGCCAATAAATCAATGTTGGCGGAGAACCTCTATTAAACAGCCACCTCTATCAGTTAAGTGGCCCTCACTGGCAATCTACGCACCATCCCAAAAAGTTATTTTGTATTGTCTCATACCTCTATTAAATGGCCAGAAAGAACTAAAGTTGAGTTACCCTGCAAGCTAAAAGCAGTGGTTTCTCCAGGACGGACGCTACGCTACGCTACGCTACGAGTGTCCGGCCTGGAGAAACCACTGCCCACAGGGTAAAGTTAAGTTAGACTGTATCAAATGATGCACATTATAAATGTGACAATTTTGTGAGTAGGGCATTAGAAACTAAGCAGAAAAAGGAATACAGTAGATTGAAGGGGTGATGAGACCCCTGAAGCCTTTCAAGAGAAGTTCAAGCCTTGAGACACATCAGGAATGTTTCTGAGATTTTGAGTGCAGATCCACCTATTTTCAGACAGTATTTACCAGCACTAGCCCTAAGAGAATACAATCAAACCTTGCTTTATGGACACCCACTTAATATGGACACCTCATTTATTACTGACCGGACAGTTTGCTTTATCCCTGGAGAAAAAGCCCTTATATTTTCTTTAGATTGAACCTGCTTAATACAAACACCCCGTAAATATGGACTTTTTCTATGTGTCCGCTTTAACAGGGTTTGACTGTAATAAAAACATTTCAATGACTGAAAACTGCAAACAGTTGTAGTTTCCCAAACACATTTGTATAATTTCTTTCCTGTAATATAGTGGATGTCTTTTGAATTGTTTACCCCATGGAAATGAATCTTCCACATGTGGATGAAACTACAACAACTTAACACCTCGCAAAATTCTACAGTGTAGCTTTAATTGTCTTTCATTTTGTCAATTTTATTTATTATAGTAAGAAGATTCTTTCACTTGGTATCGGATTGTTTTTAGAACACATAATGGACAACTTTATCAAGAAAATTGATGGCAAACAGTAAGTGCATGCATCTAATAAAAGTGTTTCATGTGATGGTATGTAAAATTAACCCTAAAGCCCCCAAAAGCAATTAGATTCACATTTTCTTGAAAGATAAGATATTCAAATATCCTAAGATTTCAAAGATTCACACAGTCTTCAAAAGTACTCGAATTCCATTTTTCCAAGGAATCTTTTTTTCCAGATTCCAAAGCCCAGGATTCCTGATTTTACAAGCAAAAACTCCTAGCAGTATTCAAGATTCCTTGAACTAAATTCTGTATTCCAAAGTCCAGGATTTCGGATTCCACAGGCAAAAATTGCCTAGATCCCGGAATACGGTGTACCTTGCATGTGTGAAACATATTTTACTATATATTGCTATTACTGGGGCAAAGGATATTGTTTGTTGTAGTAAGGAATGAGATTTGTTGCATCAAGGTTCCACTACAGCCGCCTGCTATAATATAAATCTTTGACCAGTTTGACTAGCTTTCAGAAACTGTTAACTTCTAGCTCGAAAACAGCATTCATGGAAAACAGGCCCTACTTAAAGATAAATTTTATTTTATTTATTTATTTGTTTATTTCAACATTCGTTATTGTGAGTGCTATTACTGTTAATTCAGTAGTTTGTAATATTTTATGATTTCAAAGTATATATGTACTTAGCTATATTTGTATATTAGCCTGATGTTTTACTGTGTATAAATAAAAGTGATGGTGATGATGATGATGATGATGATGATGATAATGGTGATGATGATGAAAGTGCTCAATCTTGATGATCTTCGGGAAAAGGGGGAACTTCAACCCATGTAAGAGAATCTAAGACAGTCTAAGATCCTGGGCTGAGTTGTTAAAAGCTGGGTTAAGATAACCCAGGGTTAGTGCGAGATTTGAATACAGATTTGAAAGCTTAACAAGCATTTCAGTTTGAATTCTTTTTGTCTACAAGTTGATGATTGGAAGCTCTAAAAATAACAGAGAAAATTATCCGAGAAAATGCTTTTGAATACAAGAAAAAGAAACCCAGGTTAAATTTAACCACGGTTTAAGCGCTAATCGGGCCCTGGGCCGAGTTGTTCAAAGCTGGGTTAAGGTAACCCAGGGTTAGTGCGAGATTTGATTTCAGATTTGAAAGCTTAAAAAGCATTTCAGTTTTAATTCTTTTTGTCTACATTTGATGATTGAAAGGTCTAAATATAACAAAGAAAATTTTCCGAGAAAATACTTTTTAACACAAGTTAGAGAAACCAGGGTTAAATTTAATCCCGGGTTAAGCGTTAATCGGCCTTCGAACAACTGGGCACTGGATTCCACGCTGTGGATTCGGGATTCCAGGTAATGGATTCTAGTCTTTTTAAGTAGAACTTGGATTCCAGATTCTAATCGTTAGTCAGTGGAATTATTCTGGATTCCTTGAGCTGTATTCCGGATTCCACAAGGAAAAAATTTCCCAGATCTCTCTGATTTATTCCCTTGCATGGAGCGAGGGACTGTGTACAGTCTAATTCAGTGTGTAATGGTTTAATAGTTAACAATAGGGTGGATTGAATATGCCCAGTGCCAATGCAATTCCATTCACCAGGGTTATTGATAATTTATGGTGTTTGTCTTCAACAGCAATTACAAAATGATGCTGTATTCAGCGCATGACGTCACTCTAGCACCAATATTGATGTTACTTGGTGTGCTTGATGACAAATGGCCCGACTTTGCTGCTGATATTGCATTTGAGCTCTACAGGGATAAGGTATACACAGGTTATCTGTCAAATTTATGGAAATTATCAGAATATTTTCAGTTGATTATCTAGAGTCATTTACAAGCTTGAAAAAGTTCCGAAATTGAGCAGAAACGTAGAAGCAACATTAAGCGCAAATAAGACATAATCAATCAGTCAATCAGTCAATCAATCAGTCAATCATTCTCAAGATATATCTTTTAAAGAACTTTTTATCCCTGCTGCATTTTATTTTTATTTCCGCAGAAATTTGTTGCAGTTTTTAAGTTAGATAAAGCTTTCCCGCCAAATTTAACAACTTAATTACTTAAACTAATAGATATATTAAAAATATATATTTGTTTTGTTGAATATTTTAGGATCGCCAGTACTATATAAGAGTTTTATACAAAGGCGAGGTAAGTTTCATCTCATCCAACGCTGTTGCAATTTAAGAAATGAAAAAGTAATGATGAAACTTAGACCAATTCATGGGGTACAGCTTGTCTCGATTGATGCCCCCTCCCATCAAAGGCGTGGACGGGAGTGTGGTAGGATTAGGGTTTACCGTCGTCATCGAGGACGACTACGAGTACGAGATAATGCGCGCGCGTGTTTCAGCGTTGGCGGGAAAACGTGACAGCCGTTGTCATTCTACTAGGAGTTTTGGCGGGAATGTCTTAGTTTTGCGGAAACAAGCGATCAAACCTCATCAAATGTTAGAAGTTTCGTCATATTTTTTCAATGATAATAACAGTGCCACCTTTTTTGGTGAAAAAAAAAATTACAGTGAAGCTTTCAGGGGTGTCTATTTTTTGGGAATACGCGAATAAAGCTTTCAGTTAAATCTCGTCCTCGAATCTAAAGTTCTCTAGTCTCCCACACAGTTCAAGCAGCCGTTCCTTGTCTCGTCACGTAGCAATCGCTGCGTGACAAGTCCAAGAATGGGTGCATGAGAGACTGCGTAAAGATCTAGGAAGGCGCAAAAGCAAGTATTTATTCTGGCCAATCGCAACGGAGGCAGGCAATCAAATGAACCTATCAAAATGCGAAGGTACCCCAGGCGCGGGAGCGCGAGAAAACGCGCGTATGCGAAGTTCTGTAAGCCAATTAGTCTTTTTAAGTAGAACTTGGATTCCAGATTCTAATCGTTAGTCAGTGGAATTATTCTGGATTCCTTGAGCTGTATTCCGGATTCCACAAGGAAAAAATTTCCCAGATCTCTCGGATTTATTCCCTTGCATGGAGCGAGGGACTGTGTACAGTCTAATTCAGTGTGTAATAGTTTAATAGTTAACAATAGGGTGGATTGAATATGCCCAGTGCCAATGCAATTCCATTCACCAGGGTTCTTGATAATTTATGGTGTTTGTCTTCAACAGCAATTACAAAATGATGCTGTATTCAGCGCATGACGTCACTCTAGCACCAATATTGATGTTGCTTGGTGTGCTTGATGACAAATGGCCCGACTTTGCTGCGGATATTGCATTTGAGCTCTACAGGGATAAGGTATACACAGGTTATCTGTCAAATTTATGGAAATTATCAGAATATTTTCAGTTGATTATCTAAAGTCATTTACAAGCTTGAAAAAGTTCTGAAATTGAGCAGAAACGTAGAAGCAACATTAAGCTCATATAAGACATAATCAATCAATCAATCAGTCAATCATTCTCAAGACATATCTTTTAAAGGAACTTTTTATCCCTGCTGCATTTTATTTTTATTTCCGCAGAAATATTTAATTTGTTGTAGTTTTTAAGTTAGATAAAGCTTTCCCGCCAAATTTAACAACTTAATTACTTAAACTAATAGATATATTGAAAATATATATTTGTTTTGTTGAATATTTTAGGATCACCAGTACTATATAAGAGTTTTATACAAAGGCGAGGTAAGTTTCATCTCATCCAACGGTGTTGCAATTTAAGAAATGAAAAAGTAATGATGAAACTTAAACCAATTCATGGGGTACAGCTTGTCTCGATTGATGCCCCCTCCCATCAAAGGCGTGGACGGGAGTGTGGTAGGATTAGGGTTTACCGTCGTCATCGAGGACGACTACGAGTACCAGATAATGCGCGCGCGTGTTTCAGCGTCATTAGGGACTTTAAGATCCAACGACGCGGACGACAACGAGAACGTAAAAAGAACAATAGGTTTAATTAGCAAAACAACAACTTCGCACGTGCATCACACTTTTTTGTACGTTTCGTCCCCGTTTTTGCACGACTACGACGTGAAAATGCCTAATTTCGGATTTTATGGAGAAAGTAAACAACCAACGACGAAATTTTATTTCTCTTTTTGAGCTTGAATATGGTCCCTTGAAATTCAACTCCAGGAGGGTTCGCCTACAATTGACAAAGTAAGTGGGTAGGAATAATCGCTATAAAGTCCTATAAAGACTGAAAGAACGCAAATTCACTTTTTAAGCGACGTTCTTGTCGCCGTCGCGTCGTTGGATCTTAAAGTCTCTATTTTGGCGGGAAAACGTGACAGCCGTTGTCATTCTGCTAGGAGTTTTGGCGGGAATGTCTTAGTTTTGCGGAAACAAGCGATCAAACCTCATCAAATGTTAGAAGTTTCGTCATATTTTTTCAATAATAATAACAGTGCCACCTTTTTTGGTGAAAAAAAAAATTACAGTGAAGCTTTCAGGGGTGTCTATTTTTTGGGAATACGCGAATAAAGCTTTCAGTTAAATCTCGTCCTCGAATCTAAAGTTCTCTAATCTCCCACACAGTTTCAAGCAGCCGTTCCTTGTCTCGTCACGTAGCAATCGTTGCGTGACAAGTCCAAGAATGGGTGCATGAGAGACTGCGTAAAGATCTAGGAAGGCGCAAAAGCTTCACCGGCGAAAAATGTCTGCGCATGCTCTACTAAAAATGACACGTGATCTATTTCGCGCAATGTCATTGGCTCTGAGGCAAAAATGCCGGTTGAGATGAAAAAAACAATGGCTGTTTTTTTGACAGTGATAGCGTTGTGGTTTTCTTGCCATAGTAAGAGATCAAAAAACATTTTGGTGAAAGTTTTGAGTGGAATGTTTTCTCTAGAAAATGTAGCGCCTTGGAAACGGCGGACAAACCCAGTGGTGGGTATTTGTCGGAGATATTGGCTTTGCAATCGCCGGCATGGGTGCGAAAGGCATGCCAAAAAGGTGGGTAATTTTGACTTTCTATGCTTACTGTTAGTTTCGTGCACATCGGTACAACAGGAAATTGTAAAGAAGTGAAAGAAAAATTATTGGGCTTTGTTATGTATATAAATTAGCTTGTACCGCTGTGCACGGAAGCGGCAGTTGTGTTAAACGTGTGGACCGTTTTCGTACCAAATATCGACTTGCATCTTTGAAGTTCAGGGACCCTCTGGAGGTCTAGTTCAGTGTATCCTCAAACATTCGAATTTTTATTTATTAAGCTTCGCTGGCATTTTATGCTCAGGTTAAAGTTTCTCGCCCCACAGTCCAACACAAGAGAAAATTGAAAGGTACAGCTGGTGGAGGGCCGTTTGAGCAACAGAATAATAATCATTATAATTATAATTAATAGGAAGACCGCTAAATCTAAATCAGCGCGTTTTCTCTTTAGAATGTGTGTCAAATGGGACACGATTTTGATCGATCGAAAGTGAAAAAAATAGTATTTTCCCTAGAGACCGTACATGCATTATGCGTGCACAAAGTTGTTTTTTTAACTGAGAACAAAAATGGCCCTATCATGTTTGGCACCTTATATTACAATTTAAACTATTTCCTGAACGTTTGCTGGAAGTTATTCTGTACTTGTACTTAGACATCTTTTTTAATCAGCCATGGCATTAATGTTTTCAGGTGGATTGTTCCATAATAATTTGCCCCTCTGTATTTCACTGAGAATTCTTTGGCTGTTAATCTATGTATACGTGTATGTTGTGCACAGTTAATTTTGTATCTCAGCATAAATATTATTTTTTCTTTTATTTTTAGCATACATTGCCATACACAAAAAGAACAGAAAATTATAAATTAACTGCAATAAAAAATTGACTACAATATTAGAATAAAATTTTATATTAGATGCTGATCAGGTATATTTGTGATAATTATGTAAAGTCTTTTTTTGTGAAATAATCTTGAAAAATAGCAGGTAATGTTCCAAAGAAGGATAAAAGTGTAATGAGATCTACATGTAATGATTGAATAAAAATGTTTTGGCTTTTCATAAACTGAGAATTGTCTAAAATAAAAAGGCAGAGCTGTCATTAGGGGCCGTAACCCATAACACCTGTTACAGCTGAGCTCACTTGATGTTACAGGTGATCAAAGTGGAAAGCTGAAGGTGGTAATTTAAATTTTTGGGACCTGTATTGGGTGAATCTTCATTTGCTATGGCTGTTTCAAAACGTAATGACAGCCCTGAAAAGGGATGGTTATATCTCTGTAGAGAGTTCTTGGAGATTTTTTTTTTTTTTTTACACCAGCATACTTGCCCTCTTTGGGTCACAGAAGATTGCTAGCATTGGGGGTTTACCTGTACTGTGTATTTATTAATTGTGATTGAGTACTTTTAAGTTTTATAATATGTATACGCATAATCAGTTCTTGTTTTGCCAAAAAATGCTTTCCAAAATATGGGTTTTCTTATTTACGATGTCAGCTAGAGCCAAAAATTGGCACATCATGCTTGTTAGTTTCAGCCGGTGAGAAATTTGGTACATCAAGTACAAACTTGTCCAGTTTTCAATTCCAAACCTTTGTCAAATTCATGGTTGCATGATTGATGCATGCACAGCAAAACATTAATTTTTGACATTGTTTCATTTTCTTCAACAAAAGACCAATTTACATAACTTAAAAAAAGGGTAAGAAAATACATGTAACTTAAAAATAATATACATTTCCTTTCTTTAAGTTCCATCATGAGGTCACATAGTATTACATCTTTCTGATTGTTGAGTGTTGGATTTTCTTTTGTACATGTATCAAATTCATCCATGAATTGGCTCACAGGAGGCAATGACTATGATCGATAAGAGTGCAGTCAGACCCTTCAAAGTATTATTGTACACTGTAGCATCCCATCAACACTGTAGCCAGTTTCAAATAGTAAGTTGTTCGTAATTAAATTTTTATACCATCTGGAATATTAAGATAAAAAGAACTGCTGGTAAATGAAATTATAAGCACCACTTTATGGACAGCTCATTATTACAGACAGTTTTCTTTGTCCACAGAGAACCCAAACAGTGTATTAGCTAAGAAATAATAATTTAGATGTACATGTAGTAACACTGTATTAGCTTATAAGATAGTTATCTTGAGGTGTAACTGTCGCATCCGACTCGCCTGACAAGCAAGCATTTGACACTGGCAATGTTAACGATCTCTGATTCAAATCCCTTGTAAAACGAATCATAAAGAAACAGGAACACAGGTTCTTACATCTTATGTTATTAGCTACTACAGCATAAATGCATCTTAGAATTATTCCATTGGCTAATACAGCATTTGAGTTCACTGTGTCCAGTCTTTGGGCCGTAGCAAAAGGGGACTGCTCTACAATGTACACTGTAGCTGTAAGCAAAGTACCAAGCTTTTTGAGAAAAATCCACTTTTCAGCATAAAACAACCAAATCTGGCTATTTAATGCAAAATCAGGTGAAAAAGTCAGCAAAAGGCGATTTGTAGGTTTTTTGATTAAGGGATAGGTAGCATGATGGTCATGGACCGCTTGCATGTGTATATCCAACAGTGTTTATTTACTGTGCAATATCAGGGCTGTCAAAAAGTTTTTAAGTAGCAGGCTCATAATAAAATAATAGTAGGCGGCTTTGGAACTCGCACCAAAGGATTTTGTTAGAGTCTCAGTAATGTCCCAGACCTTCCACGACATTGCACCGTTCTAATGTTTCACAGATCTAATTACTGTTTAAATATGCATTCAATGTGATTCAAACCTGGGAAAAACCTTACAGGAGTTTAAAGTTTGGAGTAAACTTTTAGTCTTCATGAAATTTTAGTTGGATCATGTTGATGAATGCAGTTGTGTAGGATATGCAGTTTCCTATTTTGATCTTCTGTCAGAATTATGAGAGAACTCTCAAATACAGATCTCATTCAAACATTATAGTTTCATTGTAATTATCATTTGTTTCTTTTCCTATAAACTTCTCATCAGGTCTACATTTTGCATGAATTTAATGTGATATATATTTGAAGCGGTTGTTGGTTTACAGTGAAGTATTTTTCACTTTTTTTTTTTTTATATGAAGTTGAGTTTCTTCTTAGTTGTTGGCTAAGGCAGTGTTGAAGTAGTGACATGCTAACATACTTTATTGTTCATTTCTCTTCAGAAAAGATTGATTGATCCTGAATCAAACAAAGTGCAGCTTCACAAACAAGATTTTTGAAGAACAAATGTGTATTCAAGCAAAGTATATGTCCCTGACAGTGTCAATAAAATTTATTAATGGAAAGATCTGGGTTTTTACTCCTTTGTAGCACTTTTGACTACTCATCACTTTTCTAACCTATATAGTAAAAAGATCATATAGTATAATCAGTATTTTTTCCAACTAACATATTTGCAATCAAAGTTCTCTTCTTTTATATATAGTATTGCCCTAATTTTAAAAATTTCATTATCTTATTCAGATCAAGCACAGTAACCATTGAAAAGAAAAAAAGAAAAAAAAAACCTGCTCGGTCATAGACGGCTTTAAAGTTTTGATATTAAAATTGCAATGAAAAGAACATGAATGCAGACACTACAGTTCATTTAGCTCATGTTCAAGCTTTTTTTATAAATTAGAAAGTCTTGCTGGAGAAGACATAATTTTGCTTTATCTTTTCGGTAAAAAAAGTAATAAAATAACTTCCAGGTGTCTAAGCAATTTCAAAGGACCCATAGTGTCTTATTTCTCCGCTGCATAGAGCTGTGAACAAAGGCCGTTCTTTCTAGTGACCCGGCTTTCATCAAAAATATTGTTGTCCTTCGTGATCGTGAAGAGTGCAAAGTTGAATCCGGTAAACCGGCCAAAACGCGAGCATCGCAGGGAACGAATCCCATAGGAATAGGTGAAAAAGGATAATAAAAAGTCTAGGCTATTCTAAAAATATCCGTATATGCATTTGCAACTCATATTAAGCCGCAATTTCACTTCTTTCCACTGGAATAAACAAACGATGGATGTATTGCCGCCATTTTGAATTTGGCAATGTCACGTGGTCGCGCGTCGACCAATCAGACAATTTTCGCCGGTGAAGCGCAAAAGCAAGTATTTATTCTGGCCAATCGCAACGGAGGCAGGCAATCAAATGAACCTATCAAAATGCGAAGGTACCCCAGGCGCGGGAGCGCGAGAAAACGCGCGTATGCGAAGTTCTGTAAGCCAATTAGTACCCCCCAACAATGCAAAGTGAAAGAAAAACTGTGAAAGTAATGAGAATCTATGCCCAAAACAACCCCTTAAAGCGAATGGAAAATTGTTTCCAGTTATTCAAAACTAATGTTAGTTAATTTGTTCTCCTTGTGTTTTTGTCAGGAAAAGGTTCTTCCAGGATGTTCGGGTCCTCTGTGTCCATTAAACAAGTAAGTTATGAAAGTTATGCTAACAAGTTTAATCATCCGCAAAGCAAGACAAAATGACTTTCCCAGGCACTAAAAGAGGGTCTTCTTGTCTTTCAGATTCAAGGAGTTGGTCTCCGAGTATTTTATAGACAACTGGGAAGAAGAATGTAAAGTTACTTTGACAAATTAAAATGACTTGAGTGCGCACCGTTAAAGAGTGAAGTAAATGCACATAACAATGAATAATCAGTAAAAAATAACGATGTAGAGGTAGCACATCCACTCCGTGGTTCTTCGTCTACCTGATTCCTGGTCGAATTGGAATTTGGAAGTGTCGGTGAAACAGTTAGGTTTCCTGTTCAATTTGTCGAAGGTTATCAGTGACATGCAATGATGGTGTTGGCGATGATGGCGATGTTGATTACCGGGACACAAATAAGGCTTGTAATGAAAAGAATGGTAAAGGTAATGACGGCCATCTTAGTATTGTTGGGTGAACAGTCATGTGGTGATCCCGATGACGATGATTAACAGCTGATAATGATGATTGTGATAATGACGATGATGTTGATGATGATGATAATGATAACATGAATGTATATCTAGCCGTATTTTTGAAAACGTTAGCGCCAAAAAGACTAGCCTGCGAAAACATCCATTTCCTCTCGCTCTTCGCCGCTGGGGAAGTTTCGCGCGAAACGTCCCCAGGTACGAAGAGCGAGGAGAAACGGATGTTTTTGCAGGTTACAAAAAGACCTCTTCCGTCAAACAGTAGGCATTATAAAAACTAAGAGTGCAACCTTTGCTTTTTTTCTTCTCCTTTCGTCCTCTTCGTTCTTTCTTTTTCTCCTTTCCTTTTGCTTCGCTGGTGTGATTTTTGAGCTTATCAGGCGTACAAAACCTGCGTTGTGGCCCTTTTTCACTCAAATGGCGACAAATTTCGTTTTCAAAATATCGGCTAGATATAAATTGATGATGAGGAGGAGGAGGGGAACAGTTTATCTTGAGGTGAAGAGGTATACGATTGCGATGATGGTGATGTTGATGTTGATGACGAAGATAAAGCCAATAGCGCTTGTAAGGACCATAATGATTTTGGTGTTGATAATGCACGTTTTATTGTAGAAATTTTAAATAAAATCAATTACCGCCCCAATGGGGCCTTTTTCTTTCCCAGAAACGGGGTAAGATATTTAGTGTGAGAAGCACAACAGAGTGTACAGCTAGGCCGACTAAGAAAAACTCGTTACCATTTATTAAAGTAATCTAGCAAAAAGGTGTATTTTCAGGTATTAAATCGTCATAATTCAAAAATATGAAACATCATCATAGCGCTATAGCGATATTTTGCAATGTAATTTTACGGAAAGAGAATTTTGGGCTCCTGAGTTTATGTTTAAGTCTGTGTTTACGGTAAATTTGTCTTTTTTGTATCGGCGCCGCAAAACAAAATTGCCGAATTGTTAAGAACGTAACAGAGGACCAATAAAAGGAAAATGGCGAGGAAGCCCAACAAAGCCATGAGGCGTATATAGCGTAGGATTCTTAATTACAATGAGAAATGTATTGGTCTTCTGGCCAGAGGGTATATTTTGAATAATCTCCCGACAGCTTTAAAAGGTTTTCCATACACGTGAGACGAATGTTAGCAGTAAGCTCAATATCGGGGTTTGAAATTCTCCAAACTGTTAAGTTGCCTGTTGGCTCTTTGATTGTTTTCCGCCGTTTTGTAGACAAAGCCACAGGTAGCCCCAAAACGAGTCATCATAGAGTTCATTTTTCGGGAATATTCTTAACAAGGTGGAAAGAAAAGAAGAGGAGGCAAACTTGACATCCAATGCATTTAGATTACTTTTTCTTGGAAAAATTTAATCTAATGAAGATCAATTGTATGAATATTTGACACCCTCGAATTGTAGCTGTTCATCCAAAGAAAAATTTACAGAAATTGTTTTGGGCTACCTTAGCCGTTCTTTGTTAACCAAGCCGAGGCGATACCGTACCAGTAGCAGCAACTACAACATGTAATTTAAATAATTCAATGCTTGCCTGAAAAGCTTATCGGTGCGGGTTGCTTGTTTGTAGTGAGTAAAATAAGATGGAGAGCTTCTTAATGTTACAAATTAACATTGTTAATTGATTTTTTTTTTTCAGCGTTTCTTATTTATTCATTACTTTCTTCTTGGGAGAGCAGAAAGTCGTATGATATATTAGGCTTATTTGGGGCTACCTTTATTTTGTTTTAGCTTAGTTTCGTTGTGGGCAATTAAGGTAGAACCCCCGGGAATAGAAACCCTGGGGGAAATCCCATACATAAATGACAGAGATGCTCGTCGAGAAATTAAAATTAAACCGCTAAGGGGGTGGCTCAAGCTTCAACTGACCCCTCAGGAAGACCATACTAAAACAGGCATCTAAATAAAAGCTAGGGATCTAAATGAGTGCCTGGGATGTCGTGTTGTTTTTTTAAATGTTAAATTTCTATGTGGTCAGTGTAATGACATTTTTTGTAACTAAATTTCTTTTTGCATAGCCCTAAGCGACTTTCCGTCCCAATACTCTAAGTGAGACCAAAATCTGCAAATTTCACCTCTAAGAGAGACGACAAGCATCACCGTCACTTTGGGAGTCCCCCGGGAATAGAAACATCTCTCTAGCAGGTGTGCTACAGCTCCTGTCTATATTTTGCCGAATAGTGACGATCCGTGTGGGCAAAACCGGTGGTGTAGCATTTGTTTCATACCAGTCAAAGAAACAAAGCAGGAGACAAAAACCGTTAAATTGATAATGGGCTATATTTGCTTTTCGACCCCCAGTTCGATTTATTAGACTCTAGGCATGCGGTTAAGGCTTTCTTAGGCTACTTGCATAGCAGGACGTGCTTTTATTTCTTTAAGATGTATTTTACACACTTATGTCTGTTTGGACATTGGGCATTGTTTCTTTTTTTTAAGGCTGGCGGTAAACTTTCTTAGAGGGTCTCAATGGGGTCAACCGTCAGCCGTCAAACGGCCTAAACTTTAACCGTAAACCGTCCAAAAAGGTAACATTTTTACTGTCAACCGTCAAAAATACAGATTGATATTAACCGTCAAACAGGTTCAAGGCATTTCATATCTTGCTTTATTTAGGTATTTCAGCTGATCTTCATGGACTCCTGGCTCCTGAAGAATCTCCAAACTGGAAAACCAGTTCCCATGCCCTCGAAAACCTTTTTCTAGACATTACAAGACCTTAGAACTTGCTAATATCTGAAATTATTTCGAAATTTAATAAGTAAAAGGCCTAGACAACCTCCAAAACTCAAAAGGTTATTATATATTTATACAGAAATTGATATTTACTAAAACTCTTAGACTACATTTCCACTCTAAAGTAACTGTCAACCGTCAAAATAGGAGAAAATTAACTGTCAACTGTCAAAGCTACCACCCCATTGAGACCCTCTGACAGTTTTACTTCCACTTTTGTACGCTTGTATTGTGGAAGGGGGTAAGGCGGTTGAGCTACAAAGAGAATAGGGACCTTGAGCAACGACGACGACGGCAGCAGTGTCAACATCACTAAAAAAATGAATTTGCGTCCTTTTAAACTTTATCGCGTCTGTTTGTAACCGCTCAATTCGCCAAATGTAGGCCACTTTTCCTGGAGTTGAATTCTTAAGGGCTTTATCCATGTTCAAATAGAGAAGCGAAAATTTGTCGTAGTATGTCCACGTCCTCCATAAAACGTCGCTTTGGGAGGTTTCACATCGTAGTCGTGCAGTGGACGTCAAAGAAATGTGCTAAAAAACGTGATGCACGTGTCGTCGTCGTCGTTGCTTAAGGTCCCTACTATGATAAAGATGCGACTACAATGTGTTTTTATCTATTTTGTGCCTGGGGGGACTCCCTATAATGGCCAATACGGAAAGGCTCCGCCTGAAAGGGGTACCTCTTTTAGGCATCAGGTATATGAAGGGTAGGGATTTACTAGTTGGAGTATATGAAAGGATGGGGAGATCTGTCATTTCGGTCTGTAAAACTTAAAGGACTAACAACGATTTCTTGGCTGTGAATAGTCGAGAAAATTATTTGCTTTTGTGATTTTTTATATTTTAAAAACACTGCATTTACAACAATTTTAAAAAAGGGATGCAAAGTTCTAAACTTGGTATACGAAAGGGGTACCATTTCTGTCAAAAATGGTATAAATTATATATATGGGTAAGGGGCTAGACCTCGGGTGGAGCCATTTCTTGGTCGCGCCCAGCCATCGTTGAAAATCGCTAATAACTTCATCGCCAAGGGCCCAGTTCAGTGAAAGAAAGGCGTTTACTCTTATCATGTTCCATTAAACCCGGACACAGACTTTAAACTACAATAGAATAGATAAATAACGTTTCGTCGTTGTTGTTTGAAAGTCATTTGGAACATGCAAACCGAGATAAAAAAGTAGGCAAACAATTGCAAGTATTTTTTGGAAACTACTCTGTAAACGCTCAGCTTGAGTCGGAGTTCAGTTTTGGCGCGTTTACCCTCTTAGCTGAAGTTAATCCGCGTAGAGCTAGGACAACTCATTACCCAGGCGATTTATCGCGACACGAAACACCTTCTTTTCAACCCACGAACGAAACATTTATTTATTAGTTTTCTTATTCAGTTCTAACAGAAACTCATAAGGGGGTTCTGGTTCTAACGTTGTTTATTCGAGGACCAGGGCGTCTCGTATTAAATAAATGTAGTTTACTGGTTCGCTTGCGCGTTAATATTGGACTATTTGTTAATTCTGTGCGAGTTTATAACTAGCTTCATTGTAGTAGAGTTTTATACCAACAGGCAGGCTTCCCCCATGGCTATCAATAGCGACCCACCCACGGAGATCAGATGGCGATCCGTGCGGGGGGGAACACGCAGAAATTTACTTTATTCCAGCCAAAAGAGACAAAGACGGACAAAAACTGAATATTACAGTGGGCATTATTTACTTTCCGTCCCCCAGTTCGATTGGCGTTAGCCTCCAGGCATGCGGCTACTTTGAGGAAAAAAAAACAGAAACAGCCAGGCCAGTGTCACGGCAAAGCGTGCTATTTGCACACCTGCGTCTGTTGGACATACGGTATTATAAACAGTTTTCTAAAATACAGTATTTTATGCTAGAGTTTTTTTAAATTTTTACCCAACCACTTTAGTTATGGAGCGATCTGGTAAATAGTGTAATGGTTTGTTTTTTAAGACGTTTTCGGCTTTACCGAAACTTTGTAATAAAACAAAAGTTTTGTTTCACATTTGTAATTTTGTGTTTACTCGATATGTATTGCACTACAAACACAATACGATGAAGATACGGCTACAGTGTTTTATACTTTATAGACCTTTCCACCGTTTTTTTTTTCAACTTCTAACATGGACAATTTAGGAAAAATCCGTCGACTCCACCGTACAGAGCAACTTTACAAATTAGCATAATTGTCAAGTTTGAAGGTGATTCGTAGAAAATTAAAACTAACTCCTCAAAGTCGCAGACGTTTTTATGGAGGGGGTAGGGGGGCACAAATTTGCTCCCCACCAAACAAACGTCTGTAAATTTTCGCAACTTTGCGAAACTATATCTTCGCTTTTTTTTTACTAATTTCAAGGTGTTCTTTCCATTGGTGTTGACGGATTCACTTCCCTCTATTTTGTCCATGTCAAAAGTTGAAAAAAAGAGTATCGCTTTTTACGGCTTAATGGCTCTGGAACATCAGGTAAAATAACTCCGACAATGCTACAATGTAGTACAGTTACGAACCGGTTCAGCTTTTTTACTGGAGTCATAAAGGACGTCTCTCGAAAAAAAAAACATCTGAGGGTTAACTCACTCTCGAGACTGCTTGTACAAAAGACGAAGAGTTAGAATGAGAAAGTCAAAACACTAAAGAATTTGAGACAGGTCAATTGATAACCACCACAAACACGTCTGTAAGCATTTTCCTGTTGTGTCTCGTAAGAGCTTTTAAAAGTTCCTCTACGCTAGTGTTGACTGATTGTTTGAAATTTGGCCAATATTGAGATTCAAAATTATTCTGATTTAAACAATGGCCCTTTTAGGAATGACACTTCTTAACTGATTGCTAGACGAGTCGAAACGTAGGCAGGACAAGCTAACAAGAGAAGAAAGCTGTAAACTGGGCTATTCAGACACCATCTTCCACCCTTAACACAGTGGTTTCTTCAGGCCGGACATCACGTATCTAACTATGGCGCCCGGACTGGCGATACCACTTCTCGCAGTACCTATTAACAATACTGAACCGGAACAAAAGTAGACCGCCAAAAATTAACGAATTTCTTACGTGTCCTTGAAAATCAAGGCATTTTTTTTCTTTTTTTGTTGTTCCCCATTTCCATTTTTAATACTGAGTCTCAAACCANGTAGTACAGTTACGAACCGGTTCAGCTTTTTACTGGAGTCATAAAGGACGTCTCTCGAAAAAAAAAACATCTGAGGGTTAACTCACTCTCGAGACTGCTTGTACAAAAGACGAAGAGTTAGAATGAGAAAGTCAAAACACTGAAGAATTTGAGACAGGTCAATTGATAACCACCACAAACACGTCTGTAAGCATTTTCCTGTTGTGTCTCGTAAGAGCTTTTAAAAGTTCCTCTACGCTAGTGTTGACTGATTGTTTGAAATTTGGCCAATATTGAGATTCAAAATTATTCTGATTTAAACAATGGCCCTTTTAGGAATGACACTTCTTAACTGATTGCTAGACGAGTCGAAACGTAGGCAGGACAAGCTAACAAGAGAAGAAAGCTGTAAACTGGGCTATTCAGACACCATCTTCCACCCTTAACACAGTGGTTTCTTCAGGCCGGACATCACGTATCTAACTATGGCGCCCGGACTGGAGAAACCACTTCTCGCAGTACCTATTAACAATACTGAACCGGAACAAAAGTAGACCGCCAAAAATTAACGAATTTCTTACGTGTCCTTGAAAATCAAGGCATTTTTTTTCTTTTTTTGTTGTTCCCCATTTCCATTTTTAATACTGAGTCTCAAACCATAAACTGAAAAGTGAAAATGCTTGGTTGCTGTGGGTCTCCGCCGAAACGATTGTGAAATATTTTTACACATGATCAGCATGAAATCTATGAAGAACTCTGGTAATAATGCGTAGGCTGCTTTGCAGACGTATTTATCTAAGTTTATTTCCGTTTGGGCGTAAGCTAGCGACACGACTCACTACAGAAAACAGACGAAACGTCGGTCCGAAGTAGTTCATACAACTCCGGCCGTCCCATTTGTCTTCATTGAACACTCCGCTCCGTCGCTCCATTGTGATAAGGCCTTACTCATTTGACTCCTTCCGTTTCTCCAGATAAGTCCGAGGTCTAATGATAAATTAGAAAACTGGCGAACTCCTTTGTCCTAAAAAGACTTCTTGCTTGGTTAGTTTCGGGGTGAGGGAAATTAGATGAAATTGAAAGAGAGGTCGTAGACGACTGCTGTGAGTAGATGATTAATTGGCCAGTGGCTACTTATTGTCATTATTCATAGACAAATAGCGTTCTTAATGCGAGAACACGCTGAGATTTAATATTATCTCATTTTTAGAGAGTCAATGTGAAGTGAAAAACAGAACCTCATTAAATTTTCTCACTTTTCGACCATGCAATGTCCGATTATTAGTTCTACACATGCGCCTTGGACATTTTCGAAAGGAAAATACATAGGCACATGTCACGGCAAATTTTAAAAAATTTGCAAACACAGGTGCGTCTGTCGGGCATTGTTTTCCTTTTTTTCGTTGAAAACATTGGGTGGCAGACTAATTCTTTTATATCCAACTACCTCTTTTCTTTCAGTTTCCAGTCACTCGAAACAACTGTGGCGATTTTATGGAAGGTGTTGCGCCACAAGAAAACTTATGCTTTTTTCACTTATGTTTCCCTTTTTTATTAACAAAAAAAAGTTCGTTTAGGTTCAAGATATTGAGCTACAAAGACAGCTTGAAGATTATACGCGTCTCCCAATTGTGGACTAACCCCGCTATAAGTACGTGACTGCCTGGTGCATCGAATCTTGGGGGGCAGGTCACGGTATGGCTCTCTACAAAACTGACGATTTAGGCACCTCTGGTAGTCACTAGGAGAGTATTATACCCCATCCTCACCGGCAATGATGCAAGAAACGATGTTTTCGACGACAAGCTATGAAAACATCGCTCTAAGTGAATTTCAACTTGTTCGAATATATAATGAAATTGTTTTAATGTTTGGTAAACAAGGGGCAGTACGTGGCGAATATAATTAGCACGCAAACTGAAAAGCACTAAATAGAGCCCCGTATGGGGTTCAGGAACGAGCACAACAATAATCTTGCTCAAACCCTACGCGAAAAGCATATTTCTATCGGGCGCTTTGCCAGACCGAAACTTAACGAGTATTCTGATCAAGTTGATAACTTTATGCTAATATCTTCGCTCACCGGAAAAAAAAGAATTAACAGACTCTGAAAGGTCGTGAATAATTTATTAAGCTGCTTTGATATGCGCCGCTGTTTAGTCTAACTCAGTTGGTTACTCGTAAAGTAAACATTCGGTCATACAACAGTTACACGCACAGAAATTCAATGCACCTTTTTGATTCTTTAAAAAAAATTTTACGTTTCCGCGCATCTGTCGCAAAATGTCAAGGGCTGAGGATACCACGACTGGCGATAATAAAAATTTGCACCCGTGAAATTCAACAAATTTAACCGCAGAGAAATTCAGTTTCTTTTGACATTTGTCTGGAACAAAAACCGCAAAAAAAATTTCTGAGCCTAAGTAGGGTGGGGTGGCGATTGAAATTGGTAATCACTCAAAAATGACGAAATTTACCCATCTTTTGCCTTCTATATTACCATTTTGAGACCTAGATTTAAGGAACACAAGGAAAACGAGCGAAAAGAGGTGTTTTTGTCCACTTTTCTTGCCCTGGTTTCATGAATGGAAGGAAAATATTTTTAGTCGACTAGTCCTGCCCCGGGATAGGAAGGAAAGATTTCATACCAGACGGGGCATCAGAATGAGGCTTCCGGTTATATCGTCTGGAACTGAAGATGGTAAAGTTAAATTTTCAAAGGTCCACAGTATTCTAGCCCTCAGGCTGTCCATTATCGTTCTTACTTCGTGCTATGCTCGCTCAATCGTTTTCCTGACACGTTGAAGCTATCATATTGGTGAAATGAGCGCTCAGGAAACCCGAAATCAACAACTATGGAAGATCCGACGGACTACACTTGCATTTGGTGTTGTTCAAATCCTTCTGGGTCTTTCACTAACTACGCTATCGTTCACAGCCTTCGTATTTACGTCTTCGGAAAGAATCCGAAATGCCTGTCCATACTGGGCTGGCTTTACGGTAAGTTATTTTATTTTTCCTTTGACTGTGTTTTCAAATCTGCGTGTAGTGATTACTAGTTGGCGTGATTTTAAACGACAAAGTTGTCGGGTTTGTGCTATTTTTCAATAGGTGTTTTGCAGCGGTGGTGTTGGGATCATTGCCTGGAAATATTCATCTGTTATGTCGGTGAGTTTACCACGAGTTTAGCAGTTCTCGCAATCATTTCACACTTATATTCTGAACACCAATTAATAGATAGTCATTCCGTGTCAGAAGTTTAGTCAGTCGTGCAAAACACGGACAGCATACAAAATTCTGTTGGCAAATGTTAAATGTTAAGGTTACTCAAAATTTCAGCTTATATTTTCGATTGAATTTTACAGCGTATAAGTTTCGTCAGGGAACCTTAGTAAGCTTATTATATTTTCGTTTTACCGTGTGGTTGCAGCTATTCTGCGATGTGATCTGTCGAAAATCGAAATTTTCATCTTACCCGAGGGAACTGTTGTTAATACTGACACGAAGAGACGACAAAATTTTATAAGCTTAAATGTGACCATTGCCTGTCATTTTCATGCAAAGTCACATATATATCTTTTTGTCTAAAGTCATGAAACACCTAGTCATTGGCTTGTACTGTGCCGCATGTTTTTGACCATGTTCCAAAATTTGAAAAAAGAATAAAATGCTTTCTAGACATAACGTGTCAGCGTGAGACGTAGGAGCTTTTGATATTAAAAAAAATCCATCCAAGTCTGCCAGAGTCTGCTAAGCCTAATCTCCGCGCACGTTTTAAAGTCATATTCTTAATTTTACTCATTCTGACTCACTTTGTTCAAAACTTTTATAGGAAACTAACTAACCTTATTTTGTGGCAAGCGCTTGGCACATATAAAAGCCGAAAAAAGTCTCTGATTTTATGCCACTGTCCTCAGCTCATTCCAGACATAAACATATTTACATACACTAAGGGCAGTGGGTCGCAGCTGAAGTTTCAATTAATTCGTTTTGTGTTTTTGTTTGAACGAAGAAAAAAATGTGGTATTTTTAGTTACGATGTGAATTCTGTCATGTACATTTAGACTGGAGCTAATTTTTTTTATCAGTTAGAATTCAGAGTAGTTTTATTGAAATTATTTCTCCTTTTGAGGTGGGGGTGTTGTGACACAATATTGAACGAGAGAGGAAATAGTTCTTTTGATTTTTACTGGGAGTACACCTATGTGATGAAGCAAGATGTCTATGTGAAAAGGCATGTTATGACCACTGTGTGGTATTTGATAAAACCTTGATGTGAGCAGTATTAGTTGCAATGCAAAAACCAATGGTCATTAAACTATTATTGCTTTTTTCCTCTGGATATACATGAAGACATCCCTACATCAAGACACATCCCCTTAAATGGCCATATTTGTTTTCAGCCAAATTCCTGCCATACGCATTCATACTGTGTGGTTTGATTTAACACTTGACCTCGATCAATTTCATTGACCGCAATGGAAGATCTGAGTTAACTTTGAATGACTTTGAATCAATAAATTTCCATTTCGGAGATGCTAATATATATCCTCAAATACAGCTAATACATTTTCTAAAAAAAAAACTGCGCTAATGTTATGTCAAAACCTTTTACTTTGTGAGATACTGTGTTCTATATCAAAGTGTAAGAGTTTACTCTTGTGTAAATTAAAATAACTAGATAAATCTTGTTTTCCACCAAAAATTATTGCTAGAACCACAAAGTCAATCAACCTATGATGAGCTTCACGGGCTAAACAAATTTTGGTGATTCAAATGTTATCTGTGATCAATTGTCTTAACACTTTTTCTATACCTCATCATGGTCGGTTTAGCTTTTGATGCCATTGACGGAAATAACTGAGGATTTGTGGTGGGTTTTATCCCTTGCAATGTTATCGGCGTTGTAAGCGTGTTAAGACTTTTATCGCTCGCTCCTTACACTTAAAACACTCTTCAGGATTATACTTAAAACTTTTGTCATTTAGATTCCCATTTAGTATAAGAAGATGTATGTTGTGCCTAGCATCTGTTTATTGAGGTTAAAAAAGTTTGTTTAAAAAAGTGGTGTTTGTAAAAAAGTTGCTAAGTTCAGTTTCAAATGAAGTGTTTCAGGAACACCGGTTAACTTCTTCATCTTTTTTCCCTTGACTGTCTTAGTAAGGCAACTGAAACTTGTACAAAAATACTAAGTGGTGACTTTAAGAATGAGCACTAAGAGCAATATACAGATCTGGCTCTGCAATTATACACTTACGAAAACCTATTAGAACATCAGACAATCTGCCTATGCTGTATAAAAGATGTCTGCAAGACATAATTACTGATGTATAAGGTCAAGAATGGTCTTGTACTTGATAAAGTTCCCATCCTCTTTGTCCATAAAGATTCTACACACTGGCTTTGAAGGTGGTTTTTCTGATACGCAGTATGGCAAACTCACAATTAGATATCTAGGACCCATCTTATGGTTGATCTACATAAAAGTAGAAGATTAAAGAGAATCTCCTAGCCCCAGGTTAATACACTTTTTGTTTGGTCTTATTTTAAAAATGTGATATCGGAAAATACAGTCCGAGATTGTAGATGGTGACTGATTGTGGACCAGTGATGCTGCTCACATCACGTATTTTTTTCATAATGAAGTGATGTTTCCGTTTAATCATGCTCATTTATGATGAACCTGCTTATCATGGAGCTAATTCAACTGTCTAGCTATTATATTTCTGTTCCTGATTTTCCAGAACTATTGGCTCTATAAAAATAACAGGAGGTTATACCTTCAGTGTGCATATATTTTGGTCTTGCGGTATCAAATCATGCAGTATATACACCAATTTTTTGTGTCTGAATTACTTTTGACAAAGTATTTTGGTGCAGGGCTCAAAGTTTAAATTAGAGTTTGGGAGCACTTTTGCTACTAGATGTAAATTTTTAGGAGCACTGCCGAAATTTTAGGCGCACAGCTGAAAATTTTAGGAGCACAGCTTATAATGTTGGAATATCTATTTCAAAAGAAAAAGTAAAAAGCTTAACAGTGCCACGTTTATTTGTCATCTTCAGTTTGTTACTTTTACTTCAGTCCTGTGATTGATAAAACACAGCCGATTTGCTACGCAGTAATACTGTTGTGATTTTTAAAATTAATTTCTCTTTTTGACAGTACAGTTGTGACTAAAGAAAACTTACACTTGAAAAACAATTCAAAACTGACAACAATGAGTGTGTCGAACGCGAATTAAAATTAATCTTTAATGAATTTGTTAAATGCACAGTTACATGTAACTGGAATACGACTTAAAAAACTTTCTTACGTGGAAAAAAAAGGCTCTTAATACACACTGTTTTTGCTTTGATTGACGTTAAAACTGAACGTTCGACATGATCGTTCATTGCGCAAAAAACGTGTTTCGTTCGTAGCATATATTTGCATGTGCCAGCGGTGTTTATTACAAAACAGAAGAGTCTGGGATGGAGTAAAACATCGAAACGAAAAAGAACATTCGAGTTCGTAGAATCCATTGGGGGAAAAGACCAATTAAACATACACCGTCTTTCTAGTTTGAGTTCGTTAGTATACAAGTAGTCGGAAGTAAGTCAGTCGCACTGTGCTTTGGGTTTTATGGCGCACAGGTGCGATTACACATGAATTTTTAGGCGCACAACCAAAAATCCAGTCGCATATGCGACCAGTTAGTCGCTAACTTTGAGCCCTGTGGTGATTGCAATTATGTCTTTGTGGTAAGTTATTCCAGTACCCCTCAAAGGAAATCGCGATGATGAGCGGAATTTTTGTCGAGGGGAGAAGGCAGACATTGCTATATTCTTGCAAGAGACAAGAATAAGAAAGATCGTAAAAAGCTTTGAAGAAACAGGGCAATCACAAGCAGCGAACCTTGAAACATAGAAAAAAACAAAGTGGATCGAAATGCCCCAATCACAAGTAAACATGTGTTTCCTAAGAGGTTCGCTAAGATAATTGACAAAACAGAGAAACCAAAAATTCCTTCGAAGGTTCCAAAAGGCGCGGCGCAATACAACAAATTTGGCTATATTATATCTCAGTCATTATGTCACAGTTTATGATATTACAATGATATTAAACACTTAATGTGAGACTGGTCCTGAGGGAAACAGTAAATGTTGTTTCCTGAGAATCTGGTGACAGGGGCGGATCCAGAATTTTTTTTACGAGGGGGTGCACTCGTCTCTTGCTCTACTTCAACACCAATAAACCACATAATTTTTTTGCAGAATACTAGTTGTATTAGAAAACCCGCAGGTCATCTCGGGGGGGGGGGGGGGGGGGCGCCCCCCCCCCCCCCCCCCCCTAGACCCCCCCCGGGGGGGGGGAAACATGGGGCCGGGGAAAAAAAAATTAATTTTTTCCGGGGGGGGACCGGTCTTTTAAGGGGTGTGTTTTGTAGCGGGAAATTTTGAAGGTGACAGGGGTTTTTGGTCTTTCTTTTCGGGGGTAACAGCGCACTGTTCCCCGGGAACATCTAAGATTTTGCATTTTTGGGGGGGGGGGGGGGGGGGGTGCGCACCCCCTGCACCCTCCCCCTAGATCCGCCCCTGGGTGAGGGAAACATTGAGCACTGGGAAACAAAATTAACTGTTTCCGAGAGGAGACCAGTCTATTAAGTGGCTTGTTATGTAGCTGGAAATTTTGAAGCTGACAGCGGTTGTTGGTCATTACTTTCGTGGGTAACAGCGCACTGTTACCCTGTGACATCATAGATTTTGCAATTTTCCCTGCTCAGAGATTTTGGCAGGAAACAGTTTCATTGTTAGATGTCATGTGACCTCGAAGTAACCAACGAGACCACGGGCTTTTGGTAAACAATTTCCAGCTATATAACAAAAGATGATAAGTTGCTTTTAATTTCAGCTCTGTGCTTGTATCCTATAACAGTGACAGCTGCAATATTGATATAATGATTTAATTTGGCTTTTTATAACCATATAATATGAGTATCTTTTTCAAATATTTTTTTGAAAAAGTTGTTGAAAGAATTTAATCATGATGCACATAATATTCAAATGTGGTTCATATTCTACATGACATGTCATTTCTCAGATGTCACAAAAAATTGCAATTTTTGTATTGTTCATTCCTGCCAAAAAACCACCACCATAGATTGATTTTTCATGCCAAACTTAGTAAAACTGCAAAGGTTTACAAGGATTCATCGCAAACTGACGGAAAAATGAGCTCCTAAACAGGAAAAATTTTTACCAGAAAATGAAAGCGACATACATTGTATGTCATGTGGGCAAGACTTCCCCCATGCCATACTTTTCCTTGAAAAATCCCCAAGTTGCAGGCCCCATTAATCTCTGTATTAGTTTACAACAAATCCTTATGAAAGTTCACAGTTTTACTAAATTCAACATAATAAATCTATCAAAAACATTGGCCATGACATCTGCACAATGTGTAATGTACGTGTATGTAAGTGGAACATGCATCACTGTACTTGAATGTTTTTCTCTCATTCTCTTCTCTCATATTGTTTGCAGATGAGCATGTTCACCTTCTTTTCAGCAGCATGCGTAGTGGTACAGATGATTGCCACCATTTTAACTGGCGATACAGGTGGATTACTTAAGTCGCTTGTTATGTGCGAAAAACAGATCTCAGGTGACAGGTGTAGCTGCTGTTCTTCCATTACCATGTGTAGTGTCAGTGCTGACAGATTTGAGTTTGAAGGTGTTGATAACTGCAGCATCTTAACTGGACTGATCACTGGATTAATGTATGGGCTCTGTGTTTTAAATATTTTCGGAAGCTTGCTGTGTTTTGTAGCCACCATCCTGGGATGCACAGCAGTGGCTCGTGAAACCAGCAGAAATCAGGTAGCAGTATTTAAACCCTTTGAGTCCCCAGAGTGACAAACATCTATTATCTCCTAACATGATCAATACATCATTAAGGGTTAAGGTTATGAGAATTAATAAAATGATCTCCTAAGGGAAACTGTTTTGATCCTTTGTCCAATTCTCCTAAGTAATTCTTTAGCAAAGTGTATGGAGAATTTTTTTGTGGATATTGGCCTCTTATAGCATTAAGAGTCCTTCTCTATTTTTTAAAATGTTTTTCTATATTAGGTTTCTTTGAACAATAGTGTCCAGTTATTATCTGACAATTGGCAAAAATTGATTACCCTTAAGAGGAGGAGAAGACGACTGTATATTGCCCATCACGGACAATCAGCTCATTATTATGACTTGTCTTTATCTTCCAAATAGCTCTTTGTGCATTAGCACACTTAAAGTGCAGGAAATGTTAGTCTTATGTTATCCCATTGACTCCAATTATCCAAATGGAAATTCTCAAGATTGTTCTTTACGTTTCCTTAAGAATATTGAAGAAAATATGTTTAAAGGTCAAAGCAGTTTCCATAAGGTGATCATTTCAGTGATTCTCAAAACCTTTTCTTATGATGTGTTGATGATGTATTAATGATATTTATTGATAATGATTGTTAGGAGCTAGAAGATAAGCCTGTGTAGCAGGTGCTTTGAAGTAATGGAGGCATTACTTCCAAGCACCTACTCCACAGTCTAGGAGAAAATTGATGTTGGTCACTCCTTGGAGGCATTATTATTTTGTTGCTTATATTTTGGGGTTGGGTGTAAGTGGTAAATTCATTTTCACTCATAACAAAACACTACATTAACAGGCAAAATACTTTGTATTAACAGGGTGCAAAGAAAATCATTTTTACTGCTTGCCATTCGGGCAAGCTGAAGCTAGCGTTTACTAGCCCAGACGTCATTTCAACTAGCCCCAAAAGCTTTTTGACTAGCAGAATGGATTTCACAGTTCTTCTGTTATTCAAATTCCTCAAAAAACCTCACTTGCCCGTCGGGCAAGTTAAAAACAGAATTCACTAGCCCGATAGCAAAATCCACTAGCCCCGGGCTATCGGACAGTACTTTCTTTGCACGCTGATTAATGTGGCTCAGTGGGTTTTAATGGTAGTGATTTTGAAACTCCTTTGAATGTTAGTAGTGGGAAGAGTTCATTATATCTTCATTTATCATACTTGTACATTTGTAATTTAAAAAATCCTTCTTAATTTCCCAACTTGTAATGAGGTGTTCGTTTTTTCTACGTACGGGGTCTTCGGGTGTAGCGCTTGCGAAGAAAGAGAGCCTGATTTCATTTTAGGAAGTAGACTACATACAGACACTGTTTACAGGTAGCCATTATGACTCCTGTAGGAGGATCATGAGGTTATCCCTATATTAAGATCTCTCCTTACGGATAACCCACCCGACCCAGGAAAGGTTGGCCACACCACCAGGGTCTACGTCCCCTACTCGTTTCGAACAGTGGTGTAGGTTCTTTTTCGTCTCACAAGAACCAGATAAATGAAAGTGCTGTGAGACGGGACCTACGGTTTTTCGTCGTTATCCGAGAAGACAAGACAGTCTAACTGTTTTCAGATGTCATTACAAAGGCAGAACTTTCTCCTCAGTTATTTAAAGACCCTTAGTGTTGGTCTGGCCAGGGTTTGAACCCGCGACCTCCTGCTCAGCGGACCGGCGCTGAACTGAGATAACCACGCAGCGGTTAAATTCTCACGGGAGAAATATTCTTTTTAATTTATAGGACCTCTGCAGCCGTCACGGTTCCAGGCGGTCGTACATCAGCTCTGAAGATCGCTACACTTGGTCATCATACCCGACAGACCTGTCGACGCTGCCTTCATACGCACCTCCAGTATATCACTCAGTAGAAAACATCCAAGATTACGGGTTATCATCGTGCATTGTACCACCCCCAGTGTTCGATCCCACGGATTTGCCGCCCCCGTACTGCTCGCAGAACCCCTCACTAGCGGATTCCCAGGGATCATTGACTTCGCCCGAGTGCTCCTCTTGTCGAATAAAGTATTCTACTGATCAGGACTTATCTTTTGTTCACACTAACTTGCCGAGTTCGGTTAGGCAAGTTCAGGACTTGGCTAAAGCTCACACGACTATTCAGAATACCAATACTCAAGGGGTTAACACGAACGTTCAGAATGCAGTTACTCAAGTTCAGTTTCCTGCTGGTCAGGACCTAAGCGAGCCTTACATGAGCTTGCATTCTGCAGTTCACAACGAGCATTCTACCATGCAAATTGATAACGACATTTCTACTTGCAGTACCCCTAGTGGAGTTGCTCACCTGGCCGCTGGGAACCCTTCTTCGGATTCGCGAAGTGTGCGTGTTACTCGAATTAGCGGACAATGTTTAACAAGTGGTACATCTTGTTTGTCAAGCGACCCTAAAAGTGGGTTTTCTTCTGATAGAGAGCTTTCTTGTGTTGCGAAAACTGACTCGCGTGTCAATGAGAATGCTATCGGTAGAGATGAGGTTGGTGTTGTAAATATTGAAGCTCAGCATCCGTCGTCTACTCTGACCAGCTCAGAAACTGAATTTTGTGAACTCGTTCCAGATGTGTCAGATTTGCAGCGACACAATAATCCTGTTTCTACGATCTGTTCGCCCCACAGAGGAGTCACAGTTTTGTCGCTCCGAGCACGTTCAAGTTCTCTGGGTGAAAACTCCATTTACGTGAACTCTTTCGAGGTTTTGCCCCGACCGCCTCCAAATATGCGAATTCCTCCCGACGACCTAGGCGCGCCTAGCAGTGCAGACGATTTAAACGCGAAGAGCGCTGAACAGCATTTGACAAAGCGAGCTTCGCGTTCCAATGACGCTTTGTTAGAACCGCGCGGGATCGGACGCCGTGAACGTAGGAAAGAGACCACTAGACATAAGAGGAGGAAGCATCTCTTTGACAGCCCCAAGCACAAAGATAAACGCGACGCCAGCGATAAATGTAAGGTGAACAAAGGGCATGAAGACTCTGTAGCTTCAGGCAAGGAAACTATAGTATAGCATAGACCATATTTCTTGCAGGAAGGAGACAGTAAGGCATACTTCAGTGAAAGGGCCTATGTCACATGCTGTTTTAGGTCAAGCTTACCCAGATACAAAATGCTCCTGTAGAATTATAGAGAAGATATCAATCAAATTTCTTCGGGGAGCACTAACCATAATAATTATTTTGGCGATTTTTGCGGGCATATCATTAAAACTTGAAAAAGTTGGCAGAACATTGTAAGTTTTAATCCGTGTCCATCCTTGCCATCCTTTGCAACTGTGAACAGGAAACGGTTTCAATGCCTAAACGTAGGCTTAAATAACAAAACTGAGCCATTATTTTTGGACTTTAATGAATGCAAAGACAAGTTTTAGCTTCGTGCAAAGATACCAAATAGCGTGACATAGTGCCCTTATAAGCCTTGATGTGGCCAACTTTTTCTCCGCACTATTTTATATACATTTCTCATTGTGGAGAATTCATTTAACAATGAAAGCGTTTTAGCTTTGCTGAGCTTTTGCTTGATTCCCATGATCATCGTTTTGCAGGATTAAGCCGTGATATAACAGAGGTTAAGCATCACGTTTACGGCAAAAGGCAAACGCGAATTTGAACCACGTGACCAAATTTCCCCGTTACTTGTCGTTTACTGTTCATTATTTCTACACATAAATTAGTAGTTCCACGCAATTGTTATCCATAAGAATTGTTATGAGCTGTTTTTATCTGCTCATTTTCTATCTTGAGAAATTCTCAACTTGAATCTAACGTTTGCAGTTTGCCATACACCTGAAGCTTAAACTCTGCTCTGTTATAAGGAGAAAGTAGATTTCGGTCGGAGTTAGGGCTTAACGTTAGTCGATAGGATTTTCAGGGTCAATGCCTCCCAAGTTTGAGCATAAGCTATAAAATCTATCCAGCGGTTTGAAAATCATCCGCTTATTTGTAAAGTTAGTAGACCAAACTGTTTACAAACCGCTAACAAGAACGCCTTGACACATACTAATCAAATCCTTCTTTCTAGCAATCGGCTAGAGCTATCTCCATGATCTTTCACACACGTTTTTAAGAAAGGCTAAAACTACTATGAGGTGAAATTGTATTACAAAAGTGCTTCGTTTTATACAGGTAACGGCCGAACATTAAGATTGTCCAGGTTTTACCGTGTTTCTAACCATAAAAACTTCATCCCAAGATATCTCGACAACACTCCAAAAGATGCCGCTTAAACTTCACGAACATCGAGGCGCCTATAGGAGGAATAAGCTCAGCCAAGAAATGTGGTGACGTAGTTTATGCTCAAATTGGGNTCCTGTAGAATTATAGAGAAGATATCAATCAAATTTCTTCGGGGAGCACTAACCATAATAATTATTTTGGCGATTTTTGCGGGCATATCATTAAAACTTGAAAAAGTTGGCAGAACATTGTAAGTTTTAATCCGTGTCCATCCTTGCCATCCTTTGCAACTGTGAACAGGAAACGGTTTCAATGCCTAAACGTAGGCTTAAATAACAAAACTGAGCCATTATTTTTGGACTTTAATGAATGCAAAGACAAGTTTTAGCTTCGTGCAAAGATACCAAATAGCGTGACATAGTGCCCTTATAAGCCTTGATGTGGCCAACTTTTTCTCCGCACTATTTTATATACATTTCTCATTGTGGAGAATTCATTTAACAATGAAAGCGTTTTAGCTTTGCTGAGCTTTTGCTTGATTCCCATGATCATCGTTTTGCAGGATTAAGCCGTGATATAACAGAGGTTAAGCATCACGTTTACGGCAAAAGGCAAACGCGAATTTGAACCACGTGACCAAATTTCCCCGTTACTTGTCGTTTACTGTTCATTATTTCTACACATAAATTAGTAGTTCCACGCAATTGTTATCCATAAGAATTGTTATGAGCTGTTTTTATCTGCTCATTTTCTATCTTGAGAAATTCTCAACTTGAATCTAACGTTTGCAGTTTGCCATACACCTGAAGCTTAAACTCTGCTCTGTTATAAGGAGAAAGTAGATTTCGGTCGGAGTTAGGGCTTAACGTTAGTCGATAGGATTTTCAGGGTCAATGCCTCCCAAGTTTGAGCATAAGCTATAAAATCTATCCAGCGGTTTGAAAATCATCCGCTTATTTGTAAAGTTAGTAGACCAAACTGTTTACAAACCGCTAACAAGAACGCCTTGACACATACTAATCAAATCCTTCTTTCTAGCAATCGGCTAGAGCTATCTCCATGATCTTTCACACACGTTTTTAAGAAAGGCTAAAACTACTATGAGGTGAAATTGTATTACAAAAGTGCTTCGTTTTATACAGGTAACGGCCGAACATTAAGATTGTCCAGGTTTTACCGTGTTTCTAACCATAAAAACTTCATCCCAAGATATCTCGACAACACTCCAAAAGATGTCGCTTAAACTTCACGAACATCGAGGCGCCTATAGGAGGAATAAGCTCAGCCAAGAAATGTGGTGACGTAGTTTATGCTCAAATTGGGAGGTATTGACCCTGAAAAAACGTATCGAGCCACCTTAAACGGTTTAAGAATGCAGTCGGGGTGGTAAAACCTTTCCTTGGGAGTCGTTATAACAATATTGCGCCACCGCCGATTTCATATGGCAAAATCTCTTACAAATTACTCTATTTTCACCCAGAAAAGAAGGTTTGATTCTCGTTCATGGCGTTTTAGTAGACAGAACGGCGAGCAGAGGCAAGTGAAGGACACCCTCAACGAGGGAAGGCGCGTGCACGCCCGCCCGCGCGCTTAGCTTTCAGTCCTATGAAAAACGCCAAAAAATAAATCCTTTTCTGCGGGCTATGGCTTAAAACTTGGTGAAACTGCCGGCTGATTAAGCTTTTACTTTAATTTCGCTTTCTTCCTACCTGATAAGCTTTGTTTCTTGATAGCAGGCGTAAATCTTCAGATCCTACATACAGAAACAAGAAAACTCGAGTCTTTTGAATTGTGCTGTCTTCAATATTTTCAAATTAGTAAAACGAATTTTTTGAAAAAAATGTCGAATTTTTAGTACAGGTGCTTTGGATCAGTTAAATTTGGTAGACTGTGCTTGGTCCACGAAAACTCTCTCGGAAAAGTTGAATAGATTTATCATTTACTAATATATAAAACAACAGACAAGGTCAAAGATGATTTGCCGCTGATCTGTTCTTGCTCATTCGTTACTTTGTATTTTGTGCCTGAGAACTGCATGTCTGTGCATCTTACATAAAAACAAAAGAATTATATATGGGGCATAAAATGCTTAGACTGAAGAAAGAAAACGTTCTATTAAATTTTCAGAAGAAACTGGAGTATTATTCCTTAGGGTGGATTTCCACTGTCGCGTACTTTTTACGCACGTGCAATGTGTGCAATGTGTGCAAGGCAATGTGTGAAAGGTAGCGCTTTCTTGTTCAACTTTTACGTTGACGCGCGACGTTCCATACATTTACACGTGAAAAATTACGCGAAGGTGGAAATCCACCATAATGCGTTGGGCTTTTTTATGATCGCACAAGCTTTCAATAGTATGTGATATTCTAAGCTTTCCTGGGTTAAAATTGGGGCCCAAAATATACTGGCCAAAATTAGAAGCAGGCTCCTGTGTCAAGATAGCTCAGTTTCTTTAGTATTTACAACAATGGGCTACGAAACTTAACGTCAGCGCGGAATTTCCTGCGTGTAAATGACCAATTACAGCTTCAGAACCAAGAAATATGCCACTTGAACCTGTCATCCAATTTTACATACGCCGGAAAATTTTAAAAACTGACAGACTGAAGAGTTTTCAAACCCCAACAGCAGTCCGTTTTTATCTTCTTTAATTTTGTTCATCCGTGCCTTCCCTGTCGAATTGTTCGTCCACGGTTTATACATTTCGTGACTTAACTCCTTTTTCCTTTGGAGTTCAGTAAAGTTTGTAAACAAAAAACTGCGTTAAGCTTTCGTCCACTCAAAACGATGTACCTGCAAGTTTTGAGCCTGCACAAGTCTCTTGGCTTGCGTTCAAACATTCTTTTGCTTAAAAAGACATGCAAACGAGGTTAATGGTTAGCACAATACAGAATGTACCTTTCGCCTCGTCTGCATGTTTAAAAAACCGTTAACAACTCTCACCCTTTGTAGGGCAATCCAAGACAATCTTGGATTCTGGATTCCACGCCATGGATTCCGGATTCCAGGTACTGGATTTCTTTGTTAGTAAAATTTGGATTCTGGATTCCAGTCGTTGGTGGGATTCCGGTTTTCTTGAGCTGTATTCGGGACTCCAAAGGCCAGGATTCCAGATTCTACGGGCAAACTATCGAATAGCCACAGAGTTATTTCTTTTCTTTATTATTTGTAAACCTTTTGCTTTGGCAAACAGACCCGGTAGTTAATACTGCTAGCTGCTAAGAAACTCGAAAGATTCAACCTTTCCATCTAATTGTCCGTCCACATTTGTGGTTTTAAACGAATTAAAAACTAAAAGGAGATTTATCTATTTATAGCTGCTGCATGTCAGCGAAATCTGGTCCAGAGGACGTTAATTACGTCTTGTGTAATAATAATAAATTCGTTAGAGAAACGGAAAGAGTTCCGTTATATTTTGCCCAGTAGAGACCATCAAGTATTTGAAAGTGACAGAGTCGTGATTTTAGTGACCTACAAAGTATTAGATCGCTTATTATTGTATATTATGGTTTATTGTGCCATTAAAGTTGTTCAAAGACATGACTGCATTAAATCCAGGACTTGTTTACTAATATGTATTAGAAAACAAAACAAAAAACAAATTAAAGAGATGAACATTGCCGGACAGAGGGTATACTCTATCGTGTTTTATTCTGATTTGTTTTTTTCTGATACAGGAAAATGGTTATCAAGTGCGATTTCTCGAAAAGAAAAGACTGTTCTCATTGACGTGTCATTTGACTAGCGTTCACCCCAGGACAACTTATTTCCAGTCTCTAGTACGTTTTGAAACTCATAACACGGCCTCTTTTTTTTTAAAAAAAGACTGTAAATA